GCCGCGCTGACCGCGCCGCTGCCCTCGCCCCTTGTGTGGCAGATGACGGGCCTGGACGTGGAGAAGGACCAGATCCTGGAGATGGCCTGTCTCATCACCGACTCCGACCTCAACGTGCTGGCCGAGGTGAGCCACCGCCGCCCCGGGACCGGCCCTGCCCCTGCTTGGCACCTCTGGGAGCGGGGAGAGCCGAGGGGGGGAGGAAGGGGCGGCTCCGAGCTGCCGCTTCGCGCCTCCCCCCACCCTTGGCGCGTTCCCGTGCCGAACTTCTCCCGGTACCTTTGGCTTTCCTCCGGCAGGGCCCCAACCTGATCATCAATCAGCCCGACGAGCTGCTGGAGGGCATGTCCGAGTGGTGCAAGGAGCACCACGGCAAGGTAACGCTGCAGGGCACTCCCGCTGCCACCGGTCGCTCCGTGCCGTGCTCACATCACATCGACACGCGCCTCGGAACTTGTAGCTGCAGGACGGTCATTCGAAAAGGGACGACTCTGTTCTGAACAGAGCCAGAGGAGGCAGCAGCGGGAGCCTCTAAAGTGTCCTCCTTGTTTTGCACCGAGGAGCTGGTGCATAACATTTTGCCTGAGGCCTCGCACATCATCCACAGCAGTCCATGCTTTGCGGCCTGTTTTTTGGGAAGTTTGGATAGCACTGGGAGCTCTTCCCCCACCCCAGCTGGGGACCCAAACTCACCTTTGGTTCCTGAGTGGGCTGGAGCTCTTAGGGAACGCTGGTGCTGCTCCTGGGGAGCTGCTCGCTCTTCACTGGGTGGGAGCACAGGGGGAATTAGAATAGAGATGAAAATGCAGACGTGTAATGAATTTTTTAACCACCACTTGGACCTGTCAGGGAGAGCCATGGAAGCAGACAGCATTGCCAGATGGAGATAAATCACTGAGAATACATGGTGCAGGTTTGACATTTAGTTACTGAAAAAAAGGAGGAGGAAGGCACTTCTCTGATTTGTAGGAAACTTGATACTGAAGCCAGGATCCGGACCCTTTCTGCGTGAGGCTCGTACGGTGCCCCGGTGCTTGAGGAGAAGCCCTGCACAGTGCAGGAACCGGGAGGGGGAGAACAGCCCCCGGCCCGTGGGGAGGTGGGGGTGGGGGGTCTGTGCCCTGCCGGGGACGGGTCTCCTCCGGAGCAGCGCCCTGCCCTGGAGCTCCCCCAGGGAGAACAGAGTCGCAGGGATGTCCCGGGGTTTGGGTGGTGCCTGTGGGCATGGGGGGAAGCTTTTGTTGCTGGGTGTTTTGGGGAGCATCTCTAGGGGCAGCACATTTCCTGTTTCTGACCAACGCCTCTCTTTTCAGTCTGGCCTCACCAAGGCTGTGAAGGAGAGTAAAATTTCCCTGCAGCAAGCCGAGTACGAGTTTCTGTCCTTCGTACGGCAGCAGACCCCGCCCGGGCTCTGTCCTCTCGCAGGTAAAGTGTCTTTGTTCTTGGCCACAACAACAAACGGCGTCGGGAGCGGTCCGGCGATGGCACCACCCACTCCAGGGGTCCCTGCAGCCAGCGCTGCCCGGCGTCACAGCGGGACCTGCAGGGTGTAACTGCCACTGACAGTTACAACTGTGCAGCAGCCTGCACCTGGCAAACCCAGCGGGCCCTTTTCTCACTGCCTCTGACCAGTCCCAAAGGTCCTGCTGCCCACAGCCGTGTTTGGGATGTTCATGGACAGGCGCCAAGTGAAATTAACACCAGTTGGTGAAAAAAAAAAGTTTCTGTAATACTTTGGTACTTACCTGAGTGACAGATGTGGCAGGAGCAGTAACTGAGCGTTTAGTAGAGGCATTATGCATTTAAACCACCCGTGATCCTGCAGTGAAAGCCTGACAGACCTTCCCATCGTATTCAGTACAAGATGGGATCAGTGAGCTGCCCCCGAGCGGCGCCTCGCCGCCTGCCGCTGCTTTAGATGTCGTTCCTGGCAGCTCTGTAATGAGGAAACATCTTGGTTTGTGTCTTTGTAGGTAACTCTGTTCATGCAGATAAGAAATTCCTTGACAAATACATGCCTCAGTTCATGAGGCACCTCCACTACCGGATCATCGACGTGAGCACCGTGAAGGAGCTGTGCAGGTCAGCGTCCCCCGCCGCCGGCGGTGCTTGTGAGAGGGCTCCCCGGCCAGGGAGGCTCCTTAGCTGTCCTTAACACACACTCTGCCACGTTCTGTTTGGGCTGCACGCCACGAGTGGTGTGGGGCTCCGTGGGCACGTGCGGTGCGGCGTGTTGACTCACAGGGTTGTGGCTTCTGGGGGTGCCAGCAACACTGAGATTCTTCCACCAGACCCCGGGCAGCCACCGGATGTTGTCTGGAGTCCCAGTGTCCTTTTTAAGTGGTGCTTTCTCCCACTTACAGACGCTGGTATCCGGAGGAATACGAGTTTGCGCCGAAGAAGGCGGCTTCCCACAGGTGAGGGTGCGGCCGGGGGCCCCGGCGGAGCGGGTGCCTCTGGAGGGGCCG